AGTCGGACGCGTCAAGGGGAAAACCGAGGAAGACGCAGGGAAGGGTGCGGGCAGTGAGCTTGTCCGTGCCGAAGGCACGAACGTGAGCAAGGCAGCCCCAGACGTGGAACGCAGACGCGTCACCAGGAGACCCAGTCCAAAGACGGGTCGGCGAAACCTGCGGCTGCTGAGGGTGCGGCCACAAGTTAAGCTGGTGAGAAGCGTAGCGCACAGCGAACGGCCACAGAAAATGGGGTGCACCGGCATGGATCATGGAGGTGCGAGCCACCTCCATGACCAAACCGATGCATCGCTCAGCGACCCCATTCTGCTGTGGGGAGTCCGGTAGGGTGAACGTCTGGGTGATGCCCTCCGCACGACAAAAGCGACCAAGGACACCTGAGGCAAACTCGCCACCACGGTCTGAGTGAAGACGCAAGACAGGGAGACCGCGGTGGACACGCGCAGAGACAAGCCAGGGGATGAGAGCACCAGGCACGTCGGCCTTGTGCTCCAGGGGAAAGACTGTGGTGTAACGAGTGAAGTCGTCGACGAGCACAAGGAAGTAGCGCTCTCGACGCGGCCCAGGGACGGGGGCGGGGCCCCAGACGTCCAGGTGCAGGGTCTGCAGCGGCGCGGCGGTAGGGGGAAACGAGGAGGAGTGAGGGGCACGGCGAAGCCGACCCTCGACACAGGGCGTGCAAGGGGGGGCGGGGGAGGAGGGAAACGCGGGGAGAGAACCGGGGAGACCAAGGACAAGACCGTGCTGGGACATGTGACGCAGACGCGGGAGCGCAGGGTGACCTAGGCGGTGGTGCCAAAGGAGAGTCGGGTGAGTGAGGGACCGACAGGAGCAGGCAGCAGCAACCTGGGTAGACGCAGCCACCTGAGGGGGGGCCCCAGCCGGGGGGGTCACGGTGTCCAGAGTGAACAGGCCGGACACCGGGTCCCGGGGGAACGTGGACAGGGGGGCACCAGTGGTGGCCTCGGTACAGACAGCATACCGCTCGTGGCCAGGGAACGTAGTGGTGACGCCAAGGTCCTGGAGGCAGCCGACACCAACTAGGTTCCTGGAGAACGAGGGGATATGCAGACCTGTGAGAGAGCCCGAAGGAACCGCCGGACAGGGTAGGGTGGTGGAACTGCGGGCGACTACCGGACCACCAGAGGGGTCAGCAAGAGAGACGGCAGCAGGAACAGGAAGCGGCGTCAGCGTGGTGGAGTCGCGGAAGAAACACCGAGAAGCGCCAGAGTCCAAGGTGAAGGAAAGCGAAGCAGAGGCATCTGGCGACGGAACAACGGTGGAAGCACCAAGACTACACAAAGCAGAGGATCCTACGCCTGACGTAGCAGGGGAGGCTACGCTAGACACACCTACGCTAGGCATTAGTGAGTAATAAGCTGGAAGCACACTAGAGTCATCAGCATACATCACATGCAGAGCAGAAACAATGGCATCCATGTCCATATCAAAGATCTGAATCCTACGACTAAGCAAACTGTGCCAGTCCGGGAGGTCTGGCGACGTGCCGAAGCGCTGACGGAAGAGGTCGTCCAGGCGACGAAAACAGCGGGGAGTGGAGTGACCGATCTTACCGCAAACGAAGCCGCGGCGAGGACCGGTCTGGATCTGGTACTGACAACGCCCGCCGCCAGAGCCACCACTCGGCACACCACCACGCGCCCGGCCACCGCCAGCGCCGGGCCACCCGGGCGGGAGGACACTCGTCTGCCGTGTCTGTGACGGCTGCTGCGAAGGCTGCGACGGCGGCGGCTGCTGCAACTGCAGGGGCGGCGGCTCAGCTGGACTGGGCAGGGTCCCCTCGTCCGCTCCAGCACCAGACGACCCGACCCCACCACTACCCCCTCCCACACCCCCGCCTCCGCCGCGCCCAACCTTGGGGCGGCGGCCCTTCCCCGAACGGAACTGCGCTAAAGCAGTAGTCTCAGCCACTGCGGCAGAGCCGTCGGAGAAGTTACACTGAGCGGGGGCACAACCCTGAAAGATAGGGACCGGCACGGCACCGCTCGCCTGGGCGATGGAGCGGTGACGGGTCTCTATCACAGTCAGGGTGTCTACAAAGTCAGTGAGGGTGAGGTCGGCGGGGTGAATGCTAAGGAAGCGGTCGCGGGCGACAGCAAGGCGGTCAGGGAGGCGGGTGGCAAGCAGGTAGAGGGTAGAGGTAATGGGCGGCTGGTGGGCTCTAAGCTGTGCGTCAGTGCAGGCAGCGCGCCAGGTCTCATCTATCGAGCGCAGGTGGGCAGCAAGGTCAGAGACAGTAGGGAAGGATGCAAGGTCAGGAAAGAGCATCGGGAGGATCAGGCGACCCACCGAGGCAGCCGGAGGGGTGGAATAGCGCTGGATGACAGCATCTAAGTATGCCTGAGCAGTGGTGAGGGACCTAAAGCGAGGGCGCTCGGACGGGGGAAGGGCGTTGCTAATGGCAAGCTGGGCGACAGCATCGCGAGAAAGCCAGACAGAGCGCGAACGGGCAGTGGCAGCAGTAGACTCGCGCTCGGTGGGGGTGGAGTCAGCGGGCATAATAGCAGGGGGGTCTGGGCAGGGGAGCGTACCGTCAAGGTGTGCGGAAAGCGGTTCGCCATCCTGCCGCTGGCCAGTGAGTTGGCGGCGGAGGTCGGCAAGCCACGCCTCGAACTCCAGAGGCTGGCCTTCAGCGTCGAAGCGAAGCTCCGCCGCCATCAGGAACAGCGCAGTGCGGTGCAGGGCAGTGCAGCAAGGTGGGGTGCGGTGCCGTGCGGTACAGTGCGGTGCAGTGTGGTGCAGTGCGGTGTAGTGCGGTGCAGTGCGGTGCCAGGCAGTACAGGGTGGTGAGGGGCGGTGCAGTGCGGGGCAGTACGGTGCAGGGCAGTGCAGGCCGGGGGGGGGGGGGAACCGTACCAGTGAGGAGGACCGGGGCCGGGGCAGGGACGAGCGCAGGGGCCGGGCCGGTGCAACGGGGCCGGGCGGGTGCGACGGGGCCGGGCCGGGGCAACGGGGCCGGGCGGGTGCGTCGGGGCCGGGCTGGTGCGACGGGGCCGGGCTGGTGCGACAGGGCCGGGCCGGTGCGACGGGGCCGGGCCGGTGCGACGGGGCCGGGCAAGTGCGTCGGGGCCGGGCCGGTGCGACGGGGCCGGGCAGGTGCGACGGGGCCGGGCGGGTACGACAGGGCCGGGCCGGTGCGACGGGGCCGGGCAGGTGCGTCAGGGCCGGGCCGGTGCGACGGGGCCGGACGGGTGCGACGGGGCCGGGCGTGGCTGCGACGGGGCTGGGCAGGGGGCGACGGGGCCGGGCGGGTGCGACAGGGCCGGGCGGGCGCGACGGGGCCGGGCTGGTGCGACGGGGCCGGGCGTGACGGGGCCCAGGAGGGGGGGGGCTCGACGCGGCCCAGGAGGGGCGCTACGGGGCCCAGGAGGGGCGTTACGAGGCCCAGGAGGGGCGCGACGAGGCCCAGGGGGGGCACTACGGGGCCCATGAGCGGCGCGACGGAACCCAGGAGGGGCGCTACGGGGCCCAGGAGGGGCGCTACGGGGCCCAGGAGGGGCGCGACGGGGCCTGGGAGGGGCGCGACGAGGCCCAGGGGGGGCACTACGGGGCCCAGGAGGGGCGCGACGGAACCCAGGAGGGGCGCTACGGGGCCCAGGAGGGGTGCTACGGGTCCCAGGAGGGGCGCGACGGGGCCTGGGAAGGGCGCGACTGAGCCCAGGAGGGGCGCTACAGGGCCCAGGAAGGGCGCTACAGGGCCCAGGAAGGGCGCGACGGGGCCCAGGAGGGGCGCTACGGGGCCCAGGAGGGGCGCTACGGGGCCTAGGAGGGGCGCGACGGGGCCTAGGAGGGGCGCTACAGGGCCCAGGAAGGGCGCGACGGGGCCCAGGAGGGGCGCTACAGGGCCCAGGAAGGGGTGCGACGGGGCCCAGGAAGGGGCGCGACGGGGCTAGGGGGGTCGCGACGGGGCTAGGGGCACGACGGGGCTAGGAGGGGCGAGCGGAAGCGGTAGGTGGGGGGGGGGGGATCCTAACCTACGCGTGATACCATATCAGAAACAGAGAAGTGTTATGGAGAGAGTGAGAGTACACACAGATATACCTAAGTCTTGTACCCTCTAAGAGGTGACCCTATACAATCTATACAAACATGACAAATACACATGTTTGTGTCAGAAACCCAGCCACTAACCACTGGGTTAAAAGGGCTTGTTGAATAGCGGGTAAGTGCGCCCATAGCCCCCCAGGCTCTGCACCTGTGGCCCTTCCCCGAGGATCTCAAGGGCAACCCAGCGGGTCACTCAACACCCCCCCCCCCGCTGGGATAGGTGGAAGACACGAGCGCCTCTGCAGCGCTGGCACTGGGAGTTGAACCCAAGACCTTTGGCTCTGATACCATGTCAGAAACCCAGCCACTAACCACTGGGTTAAAAGGGCTTGTTGAATAGCGGATAAGTGCGCCCATAGCCCCCCAGGCTCTGCACCTGTGGCCCTTCCCCGAGGATCTCAAGGGCAACCCCAGCGGGTCACTCAACAGTTTGACAGTTACAACTGCAAGGGTGGTAACCGAATCGACCATCGAGCCGCTGTGCGACTCGATAACCGTTCCTTCAACTGTACTGCACAACTGCTTTACTTTCCTATTTTCTATATATCGCTGTATGCTTGTTTCTTTTAATCAAATCACTTGCTCTCACATACTAGTGCAAGGGTTCAACTACTCAACTTCCGCTGCACTACTCAAGCATCCTTGTACAACTGGGACTTAGTCTCTGAAAGATCCTATGGGCTTTTTCTCAGCACAACAGAAGCTATTTGCGAAAGCAGCTCCGATTATCCGACACTAGCCAGGGTGTGGTGACACGTTTCTGCAGGTACTGAAAACCGCAAGGGGTCTCTTCGCTTAGCCGCGTTCTAGCAGTGCTGGTAGGACGGCTGCTGGTACTGCTGGTAGCAGCTAGAGAATGAGAAAAGTAGGCATCCGAACTTCAGCTGTGATTAGGCAGTGGCTGGATTCAGCTGGTTTGTTGGAAGTTATCGAGAATAAGGAAAAGACGGCATATAACTAGAATATAAAAAACCACACCTGTACCCCTCCCTAAAACTTGTTACAATATCCTTCCGTGATGTATTTGATGAATTACCCAAAACCGAGGGAGAAATTCTCTAAGAGCGTATCACCCTCACCACATAGCCACATTCCACTTGTTATAAGCTCCCTGGAACTTCCTAAGGCTGAAGCCCACGTGGCTTACCCTGATGTGTGCCGTGATGTGTGCTAGATATAGGTTCTGCTACTTGAATGGATTGTGCAGTCAACGTGGACTCGTCCTGCAACTATATTACAACTCAATGTCATGCTTCGGAACTATATTGCGAGGTACATTATTTGCGCCCATGCCAGCTGCCATTCATTCCTTGGCACCTGCAAGGAAATAAATAAAAGACCTTACTCAGGAACAAATTCCAGTCTGGAAGTTTGATACAAATACATGTGTAACAGATGGTAGACAGGAGGAAGGACCACTTACCTGCTTCGGCCAGCAGAGGAACCAACTTGCCCTTCATGTGCAATGCAACCGTCGCTGCACACCCATCAGAACACGTGGCGGGAGGGCAGAGAGCAAATGGTGAATTCAAAGCAACACTTGGGAAGGCTGCGAGAAGTCTGAAAATATTCTCACCATATGACACACCAAACATACACAGGCTTGAGCATTTAGAGGCATATCAGAAAGACGTACCATCACAGCCGCCGATGTGTTTCCCCCCAATGAAGACATTTGGAATGGTGCGCTGGCCTGTAAGGTCATACAGGGCTTCTTGAAGCTCGTCCTCCTCCACTGCACCCAACGAACGAGTGATCAGTTCATTTCAAGCCCCCCAAAGAAAAGAGAAAACAGACAAAAGAAAAAGGAACAACAGAAAAGAACCGCAGTGGCTCAGCTGCGCAACAGCGACACTTGCCCGGCAGCTACACTTGCCCAGAAGCTACACTTGCCCAGCAGCTACACTTGCCCAGCAGCTACACTTGCCCAGCAGCTACACTTGCCCAGCAGCTACACTTGCCCAGCAGCTACACTTGCCCAGCAGCTACACTTGCCCAGCAGCTACACTTGCCCAGCAGCTACACTTGCCCAGCAGCTACACTTGCCCAGCAGCTACACTTGCCCAGCAGCTACACTTGCCCAGCAGCTACACTTGCCCAGCAGCTACACTTGCCCAGCAGCTACACTTGCCCAGCAGCTACACTTGCCCAGAAGCTACACTTGCCCAGAAGCTACACTTGCCCAGAGGCTACACTTGCCCAGAAGCTACACTTGCCCAGCAGCTACACTTGCCCAGCAGCTACACTTGCCCAGCAGCTACACTTGCCCAGCAGCTACACTTGCCCAGCAGCTACACTTGCCCAGCAGCTACACTTGCCCAGCAGCTACACTTGCCCAGCAGCTACACTTGCCCAGCAGCTACACTTGCCCAGCAGCTACACTTGCCCAGCAGCTACACTTGCCCAGAAGCTACACTTGCCCAGAAGCTACACTTGCCCAGAGGCTACACTTGCCCAGAAGCTACACTTGCCCAGCAGCTACACTTGCCCAGCAGCTACACTTGCCCAGCAGCTACACTTGCCCAGCAGCTACACTTGCCCGTCCCCGTCCCTGTCTAGACTCACCTAGTTCGTCCAGCTCCACAACCAGCATGTTGGTGTGAAGCTTGGAGAGCAGCCGCTTGACATCCATGCAGTATCTATAGCAACAGCCAAGCAACAGGGCAGCGACACACAATTTCCCGTTGCAGGATGATGTGAAGGTGGCATATGAACGTATAAGTGATCTCTGTGGCTTACTGAAGGGGAAGTTGATTCTCTTTGTCTTGCTTCACGGAGTTCCATGCGGTCATCCTTGCAAGTGCATAGGCTGCTCGCAACCACTCGTACCAGTTCCTTTCTAAACGAAAAAAAAAAAAAAAAAAAAAAAAAAAAAAAAAAAACACACACACACACACACACACACACACACACACACACACACACACACACACACACATCCGTTTCAAATGGCGTCTCTCAAATCGAGTTAATTTCGTTTCAGGAACTCACGGGCACCACGTTTTGGAGTAGACGACCACAGGGTGCTCCGAGTTCTTCTGCTTCACCAGCTCCACCAGCTGCTCAATCGACTTCGTGTCGCTGCGACCCATCGCCCGGGGCCCGGCAGCAGTCGCAAATCGCCTGCGGGTCTTGCTAGCAGCAGGGTCTGACAAGGCATGGCTGAGCTGGCAGCCGCTGAAGAACGCCAATTGGCTGCCGTGAGCGGTGAGGAGAGCTGTGGACACAAGTCTGCCGAAGGATTTCCGCGATGACGGGGTCTTTTGAAGTGACCTGACTACCCCACGCGATGGTAACGATGCGAAGATCGCTCCCGCTGTTACTGCTGCTGCTGCTGCTGCCGCCGCCATGGTAAATTTGAAAGAACAAATTGGTCGCACGAGCGGGAAGCAGGAACAAACACTCGTGCCACCGCTCTTTGTCCTGGACACTAATTATTAATTCTCTACCCCGGATACCTCCTTTTCAGCACGACCAGACGATCTGCTCAGTATCTGAAATTGAGCAAATTAGGAGCTCGAACTGGCTTGGGGTAATGGTGTCCCAGCACTCGCGGCACTGGACGTCCTAGTTGACATCGAAAAGGCACTCCGCCTTGCCTAGCGTCCACACACTCAACTGGATAGCTGGTGACACAACCAATGCCCCTGTCGAGTCATAACACAGGGAGGTTTGGACACCTGGCATGCTTTTCCCGCTGGAGACGTGGTTTGGGTACAGTATGCGATGGATTCACGAACCGTTTCTTGTGTCTTCGCGAAACGACGAATGTGGCCAGAAACGGTCGGCGGCAGAGCTTTGTGATGGGATCACTGCCTCGATATTAGCAGCCTTTCGAAAGTGAGGGTTAGTTTCATGAACACTACACATGCTTCAGAGCAGAGACTCGTTACCGACGCTCGTGTATGTCAAACTTTGAAACCCCTTGGCTAACATTGGCACAATCTTCGAGCCACGTCGGTCAGTTTCCTTCGGCCCCTCTCAAGAAATCCAACCAATACGCACGCTCCGTTCAGCCGCACGTGGTGCCGAAAGTCGAAGTGGAATCTCTAACTAGCCACGTCATCTCCAAACCAGGGAGCACGCTCCATCAGCATGCGCGATTGGAGCAAATCAGGTCCTGGCCCCACCGCCACCTGTTGAACCACAAATCACGGCTCTTTTCGTCAACCTCGAGGCTTCCGTGGCAGCCAGCTCAAGTCCCCCCTCTAAAACCCCCAGATTCAGCAAGCATCAGACCCAACAGCTGTTGTGTGCCCAACAGCAAGCATCACAGAAATTGTTCCCAGGACCAGCAGGACTTGTTTTTCCCATCCTCCAAATTCCATCTCCCCTGCTCCCTGATTCTCCGCCCGGGTGAGCTTGGTCTTCGCGCCTCCAACCTCTCCTGTTGAACATTGTGTCCTGCTTATCGTCGATCCGCCATGGCTTCCGCTATGACGCTCCGGTTCTCGGTCCAGAGCAGCGAGTTGCTAGGCAAGAGCCTCGTGAAGGCTTCCACACCGAAGCCCAAGGTATCGCATCGTTACCTCGCAATGTGTTTCTTGTTCCACGTATTCTGATATCATTTTCTTACCCCTTCTGTTTGTGTTATGTCTCTGCCTGCTGTTGCTGAACCAGGGAACAGCCAAGTGCAGCTCTCGCTCTCAAAACTGTCCCCGTCTCGTCGCAAACGCCATGGTTTCCGGTGAGCGATCGATCACAAGAAACCGTCTTCCTGCCTTGTCGTCGTAGCATTTTTAGCATTGTTGGAAACACGAAACATAAGCTTTTCAGAATAAAGACTAGCCCCCTGGGTTAGGGTTGACTCGTTATAGGTCCAGAGCAGCGAGCTGCTTGGCAACCGCCTGATGCAGGCATCTTATAGGCATTCTATATCCTGCGCAGACGGAAAAGAATCACCCATCTTAGCATTGTAACTCCCTCTTTCGCAATGTCGATTAAAGCCTTACTCTTTCGCACAACCTCCTTCCCACCAGCCGCGGAACCAGCGACCAAGTCGGAGGGCGGCGGCCTGCGCGGCAATCTCAAGAAGGTGGTCCTCGCGTACAGCGGCGGGCTCGACACGTCCGTGATCGTGCCATGGCTGCGCGAGAACTACGGCTGCGAGGTGGTCTGCTTCTGCGCGGACGTGGGTCAGGGCGTTGGCGAGACGGAGGGGCTCGAGGCCAAGGCGAAGGCGAGCGGCGCCAGCCAGCTGTTTATCGGCGACCTCAAGGAGGAGTTCGTACGCGACTATGTCTTCCCCTGTATTCGCGCCGGTGCGGTGTACGAGCGCAAGTACCTGCTGGGGACGTCCATGGCTCGCCCTGTCATCGCCAAGGTGAGCTGCTCGACCTGCATTGTCATTTTTTAGAAATTTCACAAGTGACCTAGCATGATTTCTCCTTGAAGGAGCTGCATTGTCCGTACAACGATACTGTCTCCAGCGGTTACTTGAAGCTCCCTACATGCTAGGGTTGCCAACGCTACTAGAATTCATTTCCTTCTACTAGAAATTGCGCATCAGGGCTACTTTCCTTGGCATTCCGCCTCGGCATTCCTGATCCAACACACCATGTGCCTCCCTCCAGCAACCAAAGCACCACCTTTTCTCAGCAATACTCAAATTCCCCAACCCCAATTTCCCTTCCTCCCCACCCCCCCCAACACCCCTCCTTCCAGGCGATGGTGGACGTGGCGAAGCAGGTGGGCGCGGACGCGGTGTCGCACGGGTGCACGGGGAAGGGCAACGACCAGGTCCGCTTCGAGCTCACCTTCTTCTCGCTGGACCCCAAGCTGCAAGTCGTGGCGCCGTGGCGCGAGTGGGACATCCGCGGGCGCGAGGACGCCATTGAGTACGCCAAGAAGCACAACGTGCCCGTCCCCGTTACAAAGAAGTCCATCTACAGCCGCGACCGTAACCTGTGGCACATCAGCCACGAGGTACGAGCAGCAGTGTGACGAGGCAATGTGCACCGAGGCAGCAGTGTGCAACACGGATGTGTTGCTCATCAACAGCCTGCATATCATCGGGAACTCGGTTGGGTCGCAGGAAGTTAAAAGTCTTTGCAGAGAGATTGCCTTCCCACCTACCGCTCCCGTCCTCCCCCCAACCTGCAGTCATGACACCATGACCCACAGACATACCCCTCAACTTACATCTGATGTCGAGCCAATATCGTTCTTTCCACCCATCACCCCTCAGAAACCACCCGCCAATCCTTACCCTGTTTTCAAAACTACTCTCTGCCGCTCCGCCCTTTATATCCACCAGGGCGACATCCTTGAGGACCCAGCCAACGAGCTGGCCAAGGACATATACCTGCTCACAGTGGACCCCGTTGACGCACCCAACACGCCCGAGTTCTGATCTCCCCTCTGCCTGTCAATCCCCCCTTCACCAGGGCGATATCCTTGAGGACCCGGCCAACGAGCCGGCCAAGGACATGTACGTGCTCACAGTGGACCCCGAGGACGCCCCCGACACGCCTGAGTACGTCGAGATTGGCATCGAGAAGGGCATCCCGGTCTCCATCAACGGCCAGACGCTCTCCCCCGCCAACCTTCTCGCCGCAGCCAATGAGATTGGTGCCCGCCACGGCATTGGCCGCATCGACATGGTCGAGAACCGCCTCGTGGGGATGAAATCCCGCGGTGTGTATGAAACCCCCGGTGGCACCATCCTAGCGGATGCATGCAGAGAGCTGGAGGCGCTTGTTCTCGACAGGGAGACCATGCAGACTAAGGACCAGCTGGCTCTGAAATACGCCGAGCTTGTGTATGCTGGTCGGTGGTTCGACCCCCTCAGGGATGCCCTGGATGCCTTCATGGTGTCTGTGAGCGACAAGGTGACGGGATCCGTGAAGCTCAAGTGCTACAAGGGGTCGGTGAATGTCGCGTCACGGGTGTCACCGTTCTCGCTGTACCGGGAGGATATCTCATCGTTTGAGGAGGGCAGTGGGGTGTACAACCAGGCGGATGCTGCTGGGTTCATCCGCCTGTATGGGCTGCCGACCCGTGTGCGTGCCATGCAGGAGCAAGGGTTGTGAGGGAAGTGAGGCAATATGTGTGACAGCTTGGTGCGAGTGGAAGTGCTTCGGGTGCAGGAGTAGGAGGTTGGAAGGGGGCTACAGAAAGACATCATTGCGTGCTTGTTCCAAGGGAGCTGTCTAAGGTGTTAGGATAATGGCAACCCTCCCATCTTACAACATAACGTTGTCATCATTATATTCATATCCGCACGAGATGACGAGGATGATTAGCTCTATCTCGCCTTACTGCGTCAGCACATGAGGACGAAACACCTACAACGCGTTCGAGATTCGCACTGTCGCCAGCTCAGGGACCTGCTACAGAATCCGAATTTCACCCCTCGCAACAGTCGCACAGCTGGTCGCACAGCATCTGTTCCGTGTCATATCATTCGTTCCAGTCTGCCCACCACGTCAGACCATGGACGAGTACAGTTCATCCCACGATCGTTGATTCAGACTTGGTTGGTTGGCAGGATTCGCCCTCCCAGCATGAAACGCGGGCTGCCATGCGCATAGCGCTGCTCCACCCCCTGACCAACTGAAATGGTTCTGTCGGCTGACACTCGACGCGTTTCAATTCGTCGTTGCCGTGCTGGCATGACCTGCTCGTTCGCCTGCTTTAGCTGGCATCGACGTGACACTGGGCTAGAGGGTACAGTCCACCCACATCAAAACGGCTGAGCGATCCTGCTTTCCAGGTTCATGTCGGTCGAGACGCGGTCAGCGCCCACGTACATCTTCAAATGCCCCCTCACCTCCGTTGTAGGCCACAGCGACTCCCGTCCACCTCGCCGACTCTTCTCGCCAAGCTCGCCTCATATCACTCCTCGCTACGCAAGTTCGCTGCATTCCGTCCCCTTTTTTTGCACTCCTGTCCCATCGCCCTTGCCTTGCACTTTCCGCCTCGCTTCATCGTAGTAGCCTTAGCTGACCTTTCTCCCGTGACTCACAACACACTGGCCGGAATCCTACGAGACAACCAGAAGTGTGTGACGCTCATCCTGCATCCCTTAGACTAGCCATTTCTTCTGTTTAGGGTTTCCAATTTCGTGTGTGACCACAGTGAAAGCATGATAGGAACAGGAGTTTATTCGTCCTCGCACATGCTCCAAGGGTCTCCCCCGTCACCTGACAAACGCTTTAAGACCCTTCCCCCAGCGGAGTCTCTACCTAGACATGAAATCCTTGGGGGCTACATCTTTGTTTGTAACAACGAAACGATGCACGAAGACTTAGAGCGACAGCTGTTCGGGCTTCCTCAGCGATACCGCGACTCCGTGCGAGCAATCCAACCGGGACTTCCGCTCTTCCTGTACAACTACACCACGCACCAGCTCCATGGAGTATTCGAGGTAACAACACAATCCAATTTTCATGTTTTCTCCTCGTTCACTTCAGTCGCTTAAACATAGCATTGCGTTGGCTTCGTCCGATGAACTTATTTTTTTTCTTGACAGGCTGCAAGCTTTGGCGGTACTAACATCGACCCAACGGCTTGGGAAGACAAGAAGGTGAAAGGAGAGTCCCGGTTTCCCGCGCAAGTACGCATCAAGATTCGCAAGTTTTGTCGAGCGCTCGACGAGGACGAGTTTCGGCCGTTCCTTTTCCACTACGACGGACCCAAGTTCAGACTAATGCTCTCCGTGCCCGAGGTGAGCGTCCGTTTGTGTCGTTCTCCGTGTGACAAAGCAAGCTCAATTTTCCTGTAACTAAGTTCTCTTTTACCGGGTTCTTTTTGCAGACGCTTGCACTTTTGGACTTGTTTGAGGAACGCAATTTCCCGTACCAGTACTTCAGCCACATCAATAACTGGTGCCGCAAGAGTCCCCCTCTTCCCAGTCCGTATCAAGGCCGTAGCCGCCTAATGGCTGGCTGAAGAGCGTTATTGCGCTCTGGTCCAATAATCATTGCCGGACCTCGCTTCATACTAATAACCTTACCAACAGAGTCGCGTGCTTGGGAAAATCCCCCAGGCCCATTTTTCAACGCAAATGAAGCAGCTCGCTCGCTGCTTCTCTAGGAGAGACGGTAGTTGCTAGGGAGAGAAGCATGTACATAGGATTTATTACTACATCCCTTCACATATGAGACCAAATATTGATGCCTTGTATGCAAACCTCAAATTGAACATCTGTGCAGAATTACGCTGTTTCCGGCATCACTGTCATAGCGAGGTGAAACTTCACGAGCCACCCCAACATGCGGCCAATTCTAAGCGAAGTGGTGGCTTTTAAAACCCCCACGTTTTTGCAGGTGTGCCTTTACAAAAGGTCCATCATGACCTGAAGTTGCTAACGAGTCACGTTGTAGGGGTGAAACTTCGTCATCACGCAAACATTCATAGGTAACGTGACGTCGCTCGTTGAGGTTTGGCTAGCATCCTACGCAATCCGCGTGGCAGGTCGTGCGTGGCATCAGCCTGGGCCTGGGCTGGATGGACTTTGCAGGGTGCCTGGGCTAGATTCCTCCTGTACTGTACTATACTTGGCAGTATCCACGCAGGGGATTTTTTGAACGAACCAGACCACGCGAGAACCATGAAACGAAACTTTTTGGGGCGCAAGGTCTGCCAACTGCAGGAAATAAGTGTTCTGTAGTGAATTCTACCAAACTTGACCGAAATGGACCTTGGTACCGTAGGAATCCTTGATTTGGAGTGGATGGGCATTGGGCAGCCGAACTCTACGGCACGATTTTCTCTCGATTCCATCCGATTTCTCGACAGGGCTGACCGGACCGAACGAACATTCGAGCAGCTTGGCCGCGAGGTTGGTGGTGGTGCTGAGGTCGAAGAGAGGTTGCGTCGTGCCTTCGCTGACGGTGGGGAGCAGCCTGCCCGGACTGTGAAGGGTGCATGCAAACATTTGCTTTTCAGACTGGACTGGGAAGGGTGATTGTCAGGCTTCTGCCCCACGATGTCTCGCGGCAGATGTTTGCGGAAAAAACAGATTGGGCTCAACTTCTAAGTCTTGGTGTAAGCCGAAATCTCGCTAGGGTGTCATAACAATATACACTCCTGATTTTCAAGGATTTAGCGTGTGCGGGTGAACCTTCAGAAGAAATTGTGCCAGGTTCGGTCCGGAGTCGTGGCTCACGAGGCAAGGGAACCTTTACCCTGGTTTTGGTTGGCTGGTTTGCGTGTCAAAGTTGTGTTCGGTTCGGAGCTTCGCTGTTTTCTCCTTTGCCTGGAGGCCGGGGCGCGCTTTGGAGATAAATTCCGGTATCCTCGGGAACTTTTTCGTCGCTCTATTTCGCTCCACTTCACTGGTTGCACGAACTTCGCACGCAGTCACTCACTCCATCAGTTTCCCGCGGCAGCTACTTCTACTTCGCCCAACCAACCACGCTTCCTTCGGAGGGGGGTCTTTCCTGCCGATCGCACTTCAAAAGCTAGATCCGTTCCCGCCAAAGTCCTGCACAGCTTTCTTCAGCCTCACAACCCCTCGACGTCTTGTCTTACATCTATCGGTGTCTAGAGCAACTCTTGCTCGCCCAGTTTAGATCTCGCGCTTAGCTTAGTTGTTCGCTGGCTCAGGACTCCAAGGTTTAGGTGTCTGCGACCTTGAGAATGACGGGAACAGGCGTGTTCTCGTTAGGCATCCTGAAGTCGCCAGGCGTTCAACCGCCAGGCGTGCCGCAGTCGCCTCCTCTGGCAGAGAAGAAGCAGAAAACTCTCCCTCCCGCAGAGTCGCTTCCCAGGCACGAGATCTTAGGAGGTTACATCTTCGTCTGCAACAACGACACAATGCAGGAAGACCTGAAACGCCAATTGTTCGGCCTTCCGCAAAGGTACCGCGACTCGGTTCGCTCTATCCAACCGGGCTTACCTCTATTCCTCTACAACTACACGACGCATCAACTCCACGGGGTCTTCGAAGCCGCGAGCTTCGGAGGATCCAACATCGATCCGACGGCGTGGGAGGACAAGAAGGTGAAGGGCGAGTCGCGATTCCCCGCGCAGGTTCGGATCCGGATCCGCAAGGCGTGCAGAGCGCTGGAGGAGGAAGAGTTCCGGCCCGTGCTGCATCACTACGACGGCCCCAAGTTCCGCCTCATGCTGTCCGTTCCCGAGGTAAGCCTCGTCGGATGCTGCTCGCCGAGGATTATTCTCCTTGCTTGATCATTTCGCGCGTTTTTCGACTGTGTCCGCTTGTGTCGCTTGTGCCGAAGCCGGTTAACACGCCTAATTGCTTCCGTTTTTTTTTTCTTCTTGACAGACGCTCGCTCTTCTGGATCTATTTGAAGGTAACAACTTTCCGTTTCGATACCCGAGCAGCAGCAGCTACCCTTGGTGTTTGAAGACCCCGTCCCCGCCGCCGCAGCAGCTGTTCAAACCCAAGCGAATCATGGCCGGATAGTTCTTAACTCAAGATCCGTGATCACGCCGATCCATGATTCTTTTCCGATGGCGCCTTGGAGCAGCGTCCGTCGACACTAGCCTGTGGATAGCTCCCGGAATAACCCAGAAAATCTGGTTTATTTGAATATCAGCTGACGTGTTAGCTTTGGTGCCTCAACGGCTCAACCCTCCAAGGAGACCCCTGTCGCTGGGCCATGCTTGGTCACATGGAGGCTTCTGCAAATGAAGCCGACCGACAGAGAGAGAGCCCAGGCGACCGATGATGATCTGTATCTTATGTAGGCTCGGAGCGAGGATCTCGTTGGACCTGCTAGCCACGGTCCAACTTCCCGCAGCCAGGCACGGTTGCTGTGCAATCCTTTTTTTTGTGATGGGCCTGCTTCCCCTTCAGCCATCCGATGATGGTGGTAACTTCAGTAAGCAACATCTCCACAATAATCTTGGATTTGTTCGTGACATCCGTCTAACAGTAGCTTTCTACTCAAGGCAATAGCTACCGTCTCCTGGGCAAAGGCTAAAAGATCGCTTCAGCAATGACTGTTGCAAAAGTTTGCACTATCACTGCACGTGCCTACCCACTGGTAAAGTCCAGCCCTGAAAAGGGTGCAGCCAAGAAAATGGCTTGCGCTCTCCAGATTGTGGCACCGTCTCTACATGTGCTTCTAAAACTGAAACTGGTCCTGAAGGTGGTCCTGAAATTGCCGCTGAAATTGCTCCTGAAATTGTTGCTCCTGGAACTACTTCTGCTGTTGCTCCTCCTGCAACTGTCCCTCCCACACCCCCTCCTGCAACAGCAGCACAAACCCATGCTTGCTGTGCCTTCCCTCGTGCACAAGGCAGGGGTTTCACTTGCTGTTCTGTTCCAGTAAGCGCTGTGACTTTAGGAAACGATACAGGGACTGCCTGGGGGGAACTTCCGGAATCGGATGCGGTTGGGCTAGGCGGGGAGGTGGGGAGAGCGAGAGGGGGTGATGCTGGTGGAGCTACAAACGCAGGTGATAATAACCAGGACGCGGGTGTAGTAGATGCAGAGGGTGCGGCGATTGAGGCCAAGAGAGGAGGTGGGGGGAGGGGAGACGTGGGAGAAAAGGGAGTGGGGGGAAAGGCGAAACGCCCTGATGGGCTGCTGGGTGTAGGACTCATTGTTAATGGTGTTACCCCCGCCATGCCCTTGCCAAAACCATCTCCCTCCCCCTTCCCCTCCCACTCCTTCTCAACGCCCTTATTGGCCACCTCTCCGCCATCCACCCCTTTCCTCCTCATAACCATCACCCTCCGCTGCTCCTCCCACCACTCCCTCCTCCTCTCCTCCTCCCTCTGCCCCTCCACCCTCCTCCTCCGCTCCTCCCCCATCTCCCGCTCCCGCTCCTGCCGCCACCTCTCCTCCAACACCACCTGCCTGACCTCCTTAAAAAGGGGCCGCCCCCTGCAGTGACCAGATACGAAGGGGTGGTCCAGCATTTGGAGGAGAGAGGGGCGTTCTGCAGGCTCTTTCCGAAGCACCTGCCGAAGCGAGACCGAGGGAGGATGTGGTAAAGTGAGACCGAGTGTGCACTCCCATGTAGTTGGGAGAGAAGGCCGGTGTGCACACTGCAGTGTGCTCCCTCCCTCATGATGGGGGAGGGGATACGTGCCCTCATGATGCATGCCCCTGCACTCACCCTACAGATGAAGTCCTTGCATGCAGGCGACATGGTGTCAGGCAGCATGGAGGGCAGCAGCTCCCGGTGCAGGATGTTAGTGGCCGTGTGCACATGGGTGGGGGGGAGAGACGACCTTCACCGTGCTGGGAGCTCGCACTCACCCGGCAGATGAAATCCGGTGCGTCTGGCTTGGCGGTGAAATCCGCCATGTCACCGCCACATCAGATGCTATGGGCAAATGCCTCACCGGGTTTACATACCCTCTAACTCGCCCGGCAAATGAATTCCTTGCATGCCGGTGACATGGCGCCAGGCAGCATGGCAGGCGCCAGCTCCCGGTGCAGAATTTTGGTGGCCATGTGCACAAGGGGAGGGAGGGAGAAGGCTGCTGGGAGCTCGCACTCACCCGGCAAATGAAGTCCTTGCATGCCGCGGACATGGCGTCAGGCAGCATGGAGTGGGTCAGCTCCCGGTGCAGTATGTTGGTGGCCGTGTGCACGTCAGATGAGCCCTCAAAGGGCGGATGGCCCATCACCAGCTCGTATACCAGCACCCCGCACGCCCTGGGGACAAGAGGATAGAGCGGGATAAGAGAAAAGACGAGCCTGCAACTGGTGCAACTGGTGACGTGGGACGGCCCATCACCAGCTCGTATACCAGCACCCCGCACGCCGCGGGACAAGTGAATAAAGGGCCCATCACCAGCTCGTATACGAGCAGCACAAAACGGGATAAAGGGGCCCGCAATTGGTGACGTAGTGACCCATCCCATCCCATCCCATCCCAGCACCAGCTCGTATCTCACTGCAGGCACGCTGATATCTCAGCCTATATTAGGACCCCTCCCTCACCCTCACGGCTCACCAGATGTCCACCTTCTCATCGTACACAGCATCTGCAGCTGTCACCTGCCCCTGCCCCCCCGCCTGCCCCCTGGGCTCCTCCGCCCCACCCCTCTTCTCCCTGCTCTTCGACCCCTCCCCGTTGCCCTCCCCCCCTTGCGCCACCCTCCCGCGCTGCCCGCGTGCCATGCGCACCACCTCAGGCGCCATGTACTGCAGAGTGCCTAGACGACTGGCTGGCCGCTCCTCTTTCATGTTGATCGCCAGGCCGAAGTCACACACCTGTACAGGGTTGAGGGGAAAGCGGGGGGGGAGAGGGGCGGGGGGGAGTGCCATACTCTGGGCCATGCGCACCACCTCAGGCGCCATGTACTGCAGAGTGCCTAGCCTGCTGCCTGGGCGCTCTTCTTTCATGTTGATGGCCAGGCCGAAGTCACACACCTGCAGAGTACGAAGGGGGGGGGGGGGGTGTCGGGGAAAGAGGGGAGAAGGGGAATGGTCGTGCCATGCGCACCACAACAGGCGTCATTTACTGCAGGCTGCCCAGGTGACTGGCTGGGAGCTCCCTTCCATGTTGATCGCCAGGCCGAAGTCACACAACTTGAAGGTGGGGAATGGGGGGAAGGGAGGAGCAGGGGGAGGAGGGGAGGAGGGCTGGAGGCGTGCGTCCACTTCAAAAGCAATGAATGGCGCGCACTGCAATACGACTGATTGGCCATTTAGGCTGACGTGTCTTGATACATCTTAGAGCTCGTGTGCTTACCTTGAGTGTGCCGTGAAAGGTCAGCAGGAGGTTTTCCGGCTTCAAGTCCCGATGTACGATCCCCTTGGCGTGCATGTGGTGCAGCGCTGCCAGCAGCGGCAGCAGGATGTGCTTGGCTATGCGCGCCTCTGGCATGTGGCCCCCGCTTGCCCTCAGCTCCTCGAATAAATCGCCCCCTGACGCCCACTCCTGGACGATGTACACACACTGCGTGTCCTCGAAGTGGCCCAGCCACTGAATGATGTGCTCGTGGCTGCATGGAGGGACGAGAGAAGGAGAGGGAGGAGGGGAGAGGGAGAGGGAGGAGGGGAGAGGGAGAGGGAGGAGGGGAGAGGGAGAGGGAGGAGGGGAGAGGGAGAGGGAGGAGGGGAGAGGGAGAGGGAGGAGGGGAGAGGGAGAGGGAGGAGGGGAGAGGGAGAGGGAGGAGGGGAGGGAGAGAGGGAGGAGGGGAGAGGGAGAGGGAGGAGGGGAGGGAGAGAGGGAGGAGGGGAGAGGGAGAGGGAGGAGGGGAGGGAGAGAGGGAGGAGGGGAGAGGGAGAGGAACAGCGGGGGATATGAGTTGGACAGCTCGCTGCCTGACGCCCAATCCTGGACGATGTACACACACTGGGTGTCCTCGAAGTGGCCCAGCCACTGAATGATGTGCTCGTGGCTGCATGGAAGGGGGGGGTGGTAAGAGGGAGGGAGTGTGGCTCTTGCCTCGGAAACAGGCCTGTGGCATGTGGGCCCCCCTGGCCCTCAGCTCTTCAAGCAGGTCGCCCCCTGACGCCCACTCCTGCACGATGTACACTGTACACTGGGACCCATCCACTGGGAGTGCATCGTGCAGGAGTACATCGTGCAGGAGTGTACTCGTGCGCACTGGGACTCGTGAAAGTGGCCAACCGTCGAATGATGTGCTCGTTGCTGCATGGGGTGAGGATGTATGGTTGGTTGGTGGGGGACGTGGGAGGAAAAAAGGGCGTGATTCTGGTCGAGAGAGACAATCGGAAGACAATGTGCAGTGGGTGTGCTGGATTTAGTAAAGGTTATTCTTAACCAAGTGCCCGTATTAGCATCGCTTACTTAAGTGTCATCAGCAGCGCAACCTCCCGGTTGATCCGATGTCGATCAAGAGCACTTAAAGCAGACTTGACATACGCCTTAACAGCTACCTTGCGTCCCGTTTTGACACACGTGGCTGCATACACCACTGCGTTGCTGTGAAGGATCATTAGCGGAAAGGGGAGCAACGAATGCGAGACAAAAAGAGAGTCAGGGATGCGCGAGCGAGCGAGCGAGGGAGTGTAATTCAAATCCGTGGGAGCAGAAGAGCAATGGCAAGATTGATGCTCTTCTCTCTCGGAAACTGACCGTCCCGTGCCGATCTGCTTCCTATTGACGAAGTCAGCAGCTGTTGCCCTCGCATATATGTTCACACCCGCACTCTCCCCCACACTCTCCCCCACACTCCTCCCCACACGCCTCCCCACACTGACCCCCACACCCACCCCAGCGCTCGCCCCCACTCCCACGCCCCTGCCCCTCCACCTCACGTCCCTCCTCTGCCCGGCCTCCCTCGGACTCTCCTCCCCCCCATCCTCTCCCCCAACCTTCCCCTCTCCGCTCCCCTTCCCCTCTTCGTCCCACCCTTGCCACAGACTTTCCACCCCCCCATCTCCAACCCTTGCAGTCACCCCTGCTGCTGCTGCTGCTGCCGCTGCTGCTTCTCGATTTGCTGCTGGTGCTGCTGGTGCTGCTGGTGCTGCTGCCGGTGCTGCTGCCACCAATAGTGGTGCTCCTGCAGCTGCTATCCCTCCCTCTTCCCCATTATTCCCTGCCTTCTTCTCCCCCTTCCCAACCAAACTTAAACTGGCCGTATTCCCCATGTCCTTACCCTTCTCACTCTCCCCCTTCCCCTCCTTTTCTCCGCCTCTCTCCGCCCCCTCCTCCCCTCCTCCCCTTTCTCTTCCCCCCAACTCCCCTCCTCCGTTCCCCTTCACGTCACCAGCCCTCCCCTCGGGCAGTGCCTCCAGTGCATCCGCCTGCAACCCACACCCGCAGCAGCCACTGCACAGAGCTCCAGATGTGGTAACCACGAGTAACCCTGCTGCACTCTCAACTTTTGCCCCCTCCCCGTGTGTTCCCTGCACCCCTTCAGCAAGGTTGCGGCCGTGCACAGACTCATGCCCACATGTACACTTTGTACTCGCCACAAGCTGATGCGCTTGCTCGTATTCGTGACACCCATCCGCCTGCGTGCCTGCGTGGTTCTGCCCGCACACATGCAGTCCTCCAGTGCCATGCGCAGCGTCAGCCTCTCCGGACTCGTTAAGAGCAGACCCGCTAGGAGCTGACTCGTTACAAGCGGGTCCGTGGGCTGCAGTGTTGGAGCCAGGGCAAAGCGCGCCACTGCAAGGTGTGACCATTCACCGGCAGACGGAGGAGCAGCTGCTTCAATACAGAGTCTCTCACTACGATTTCACTGGTCCCACTAAGGGCTCCCTCGTGTCACCGAGGAATGGGGCTTGCAGGGGCCAAACGGCTTTAGGGCGAATTTAGGCGGCGGAGAGGAGGCGAGCAGGGGTGAGACGAGACAAGAGTAGCACTACGTCCTTAAAAGCTCGAGGCGATTTCTGCGTGAAATTCAACAAGCGCGGGGTACCATCTGCGTCGAATGACTCCGTAAGACCAACACTCCGCGCGGCACGCTTTGCTCGTCAGCCAATCGCGCCGAAACGGCGACGGGAAAAAACAAATCGCGGAGCTCGCGACGGAAACCGTTCAATTGGAACGAAATCCGTCCGCTCCATCAGTCTAGCGGCACGGCTCCCTGGCAACCGCAGACCTGCGGGCGTCCACAGCGCGTCAGTCTTCCGCAACGCAATGGGAGCGGCGGAGGGGCGGAATGAGGAAGTGGCGCGCGGTGCGTGGCAGGTGAGGGGGACAGATAGGTGAGGGACGCCCCGGCGCAGGAGCAAGTGAGGTTCCAGATCAGCGCAGGGGGGGGGGGTGTGCGGCGGAAGCGGGGTCCGCGCGCCCATGGAAGCAAGGAGTCAGGGCGATCCGTGGGGCGCGATGGCAGTGAGGAGGTAATATGGACGAGACATCTCCACTCGCGACCCTGGGCTCTGGGCTCTGGGGCGCGTCATGCCTCGCCGGCGACGACTGTTGAGAAAGGCAGGGGGCGGCTGGAGCCGGTTGGGTGACGAGGTGAGTCGACGCGAGGGCACGGCATGGGGAGGGCGCGAGAGACATGCAGAGCGGGGAAGGCAATGACTGTGGGGCGTGGCTGTAAGCGAGGAGTGGTAGTTGGTTGCTGCTGCGAGCGAGGTTTGGCGTGAAATGGGGGGGAAAAGTGAAGACAGGATGGTTTCTAGGGCGGATGTGAAGAGATGTAGGCTTGGTGTGTGACGAATGCTGAGGGGCGCGAATTTCAGCTGCGAAAGTGGGGAGGGGGGAATTCGTCGCGAAGTCGGAGGGGGGCGAAAATTTCAGCTGCGAAATCAGGGATGGGCGAATTCCTGACGCGAAATTCAGTAAGGGCGAATCTCCGCTGCGAAATTGGTAGGGGTGCGAATTCCAGCTGCGAAATTGGGGAGGGGCACGAATATCGCAGCGAAACAACAGTCGATATTGACTCACTCTGCTATGTGCATTTAGTAGACAGATTATAAAGAACCCCTTTCTCACTCGTTTACGTGAGTGATATGCACATCATTGAATACACTTGACTCGAGTAACAACCGAACAATAAATAGAACTTTCTCGTGTGCCAATAGCAAGCACTCTGCTGCGACCGCCCGTATGCGCACTTCGAGAGCGCCCTTATCGAAACATTTCCAATCAGCCCTCGCCTTCCCCCTTACACACCTCCCCCTCCCACTCCTAATTTCTCACCGCACCGCCTGTTCTCCTACCAAGCGCGCTTCCGTTGTTGTCACTTGCCTATCGTTGTGATGGTCGAGACCGAGGAGGCTTCGTTAGTAGCGTCGTTCTCCAATCCGTACTCCGCGTGCGGTTTCATCGGCGGTATCATCTTCTGCGTGTCAATTCTGCCGCAATTAGTCAAGACGTACCGTACCAAGTCCGCCAAAGACCTCAGCTATTTCTGGTCAGAATCTGCGTCTCGAACCTGCGTTAATCTTTTGAATTGTTCAATTAGGAGCGCTGGTTATGTTTGCTACAACCAAGATTGTTAGGACTAGCATTACTAACCTTTCGCGAATGTATCCCTTGCTACCATGCGTCATCCTCCCTCCTCGCATCTCCCACTCACGCAAATTCCGCCCCCCCTACTTCCCGCTCTCCCCCCTTTTCCCACCCTTTCCCCGCCCCGTCACCTCCTACATCCTCTTGCTTCCTTTGCCCTTTCCCCCTCCTCTTCTCCCACCCTCTCCCCCTCCCCCCTCCCACTCTTCCCCCCTCCCACTCTTCCCCCCTCCCCCCCACAATCTCTCCCCCCCCCAACCCCCCCACCCCTCTTCCCCCCATCCCAATCCACCCAGCCGACCCCCCTCCCCCCTCCCTCACCTCCACTCCATGCCCTCCCACCTCCCCCAACCAGACCAGCATGCTATCTCCAATTGGTCTCATGGGAATAGCATACGCATGGCGCACTACCTATGGCCCATTCCCATCCCCTTTATACTCTGTCCCCACAACAGGCAAGCATGCTATTTGTTGGGTCTGATAAGTATCAGCATATACGGTGTGGCGTACAAGCTATGGCCCGTTGCCATCCCCCTTATAATCGAAATCGTTTTCATGGCAACGCTGACTGTACTCAAGTATCGCTATGACAAGCGGGCCAAAAGAAAGGCTGCTGCTGGTGTTGAGGATGGTGTGGATGTTACTGCTGCTGACGCTGATGCTGATGCTGAAGCTGATGGTAAAACTGCTGCTGATGATGCAGATAGTGACGTTGATGGAGTCCATAAAGTGGGTGATACACCTGGTGGTGTAGATGAGTATTTGGGAGGAGCTGTTGATGGTATTGTTGTAAACCCAGCAGACTCGACTGGGGCTTTAGTGCATAGGGGGGGGCATTCATCATCAGGAGAACCGTTGGATATTGTAACTGTTAATGAGCTGGAGATGAGAAGGCTGTAGGTGAAACGTAGCCAGGAGTCTCACCTTATAGCAAGAAAAAGTTTTTGCCCCACATACGTACTTACACACATGGTATAGAGGATCGCAGTTGTTTCAAGATACCTTGTACGGCACATGTCCAGTCTACCCGTACTGTACTGTGGTGGTGGTATCAGCAAAAAAGACTGCTTTTATATTCACATTACCATACATCACATGTAAATTTCAGCAAGACCCAACTCCCTACTCCCCTGGCTGATCATAAACCCTGCTCGGTCACTCTGGCACGCAAAAGGTCTTAGGCTTCTGAAGACAAGCAGAACCTTACTATCTAGCACGCCGGGGGGCGCGAGGGGGAGCACGGAAGGGAGGGCGGGGGCCGCGGCCAGGCGGGCCAATGGCCTGCAAGGTCATGTCGAGCTGCAGAAAGCTGTCCCCCACCAGCCCTCCCGCCTGCTCGCCGCCTCCTGCTGCCACGATCAGACCGCTGTGTACAGCATGGCAAGAAGGGGGGTGGCAATGGTCAATGCATCTGCATGGAAAAGTGGGAAATGTTGAAGAGTTTGAGCCGATAAGGCACCTATTTCGACATACGCGTACCTGAGAGGAATTTCAAAAACGCCACTTGACAGCAGCTCATATTGCGGCCCCTGAAACAGATAAGAAAACAGAAGGGAAAAAAACTGTTGGCCAACAGCCAGGGTCACACTAGGTAACTCTGATTTATGCACTTTAAAACACCTCAAAACCTCCTTGCCCTGGCTATAAGCTGAATGACTCACCCGGGAAAGCTAAAGGGCGATGAGCTGGATGACTCACCCGGGCGATGAGCTGGCCGTTGAGGGTGGGCATGTCATCTGGGTCGATGGGCACTTGCAGGTTCTGGCTGTTGACGTTGGTGCCCAGCAGCGTGCCGGTGACGCTCTGCACCAGCAGCACTGCGTTGTCTGGTTTGAACGAGTAGTTGAGGTTCTTCATGTCGAACTTGCCTCCTGAAGAAAAACACGCGCAGAAGAGCATGCCAGCACAAAGGAGATTCAGATCTTGGAAGTATTTTTGCAGCCCCGCAGCATGCCAGTAATGCTCTGCACCAGCAGCACTGTGTTGTCCGGTTTGAACGAGTAGTTTGAGGTTTCTCACGTCAAAATTGCCTACTGAAGAAAAACACACATTGAAAAGCCAGGGTTTCGTTACAATGATACGCCATGCAAACTCTTGGGAAAGGCTGTGCATGCGAATCAATGTGCATGCGAATCAAGCGCCATCTACGAGGGGTGCCACAACAAGCACAAGCAACACCATGAAAGTGGTTGTCAAAGCCATCAGGCAAAAAGGTTGGGGCAGGGATTCCCACCGTAGATCCATATCTGGGGGTTCTGCATGGTCAGATTGGCGATGCTGGATTTGCTGACAGCTGATGTCAGCACAGCAGTCCACGTGGCAGGATCAGTGCTGATGTTGGACGACTGCCAGACTACCTGCATGTGTTTACGGGAGGTCATTGTGGGGGGCGCACGCAGCATAGGTAGACCAGAGAGCCAGTTCAGAAATCAAGAAAAGTCTAACCACCAGCTAGAGTCAGAGGACAGACTGTGGACTGCCATAGCATCTCCACCGTCAACCCTCACATCTAGGCCAACTTACCTCCTTCAATTGGAACGTTTTGCGGCCAGCCTGAGGGATGTCAATCAACAAAACCATCACCTGCTCTAATCCTCACAGAAAACCAAACTTCAGAAGAAAGGGAAGAGAACTTACCTCGGTGGGTTGGAACGTCTTGCTGTCCGCCTGCGAGATGTTGAGCACCACGGGGCCCAGCTCACGGAACGACGGCGGTGACGTGTTGGCCGTGACACCTGACAGCTTCTGAATGGACCACGTGGACACCGAGTTCTGGGGGATAATTGTCATCGGAACCACTCCCGTCTGTGCTGACGTGGCGCCGAGGAGAGAGAGAACGATCGAGAGGGAGAGGACGAGGGGGAGGGAGAGTGACAGAGGGCGGGGAGCGAGGGTGAAGATTTGGAAGCTGGAGCCGGAGCGTGTGGGGATCGCACCAGCCATGGCGATGGATGTTTCTTAGCAAGCGGACCGAGGGAATACTGAAGAGTGCGGCGACTGGGACGACGAGAGCCAAACGCGAAGAATGCTAGGACGCTGCCAGCGAGAGGTGAGAGAACGGACAGAAGAAAAATACCAACACATAGACGGCTGCGAAAATACCAACACGAGAAGATACAAAACTGGTGACTAAATCAACACATATACCTTTGAAGTCCGAGCTTACGAGCTCAAGTGTGGCATCGCGAATCGTAAGGACACAGCGTCCATGAGGGATACAGTTCGGCTCAGAAACTACAGCTCAGGCCGCCTGACGAAGTCGTCGTCAACGACGAACTCCGGAAAGGATGGTTGCGCGATTCGCGGACATTCTTCCACGCCGTTTCCTCCAGGTTCAATGGCCATCAAATCTGGCTCGCCAGGAGAAATGACAGCTGCCAGGAATTCCTGAATTTTGATGCATGACAAACCCAAAGGCAGCTGCGGAATTTTAAATTCCTGGCTTCAACAGGTGGGACAGAACTGGACTACAGGGTAGTTTTCCTTCATATGGATGTGATTAAAAATATGTTTGCGCTGGTTCCTGAGTCTCCCCAATTTTGTTCAGTCTGACGCAATCTAGCTGTCTAGGCTGGGGAGCTGGGAGGCATTTTGCTTGATAGCTTCTTTGATCTACACTCCGAAAGACGGGATAACAGCCAAGGATCTGGGCAGAGCAGGGGAAGTACATCTTTATTCCTCAAACCCCCCCAGCACAAGGCATTCCTGAGAATTCTTTGTCCATTTCCAGATTCCTGGCTTTCATTTCCCAGCACAAGCAGCTAACAGGCATCTCATTCTAAGAAGCATCTCACAGCCTGAGAACGGAACGGAATAATGTCGCATTTTCACATAGAAATGCCAGCTAGGTCCATTGTACTGGTGGTCATGGCGTGCTTCATAGTACTTACATCAGCTGTCTCGTCCTGGTGGCAAGCAACGAGGCCTGGTGCTTCCCAAGGATGAATCCACGCTGGACGAGTCAAGATGGACTCTCCCGGGAAATGCGCGCTTGTGCCTCGAGGAAATCGACGACTTCGTCGCGAGTCCTACTCTCGAGATAGTACCTCAGGCCAGCATGCTTCGTGAAGCGTTTTGCGAGGAAGGCGACGGCGTCAACCGCGGCGTCGCTGGGTCGTCGCCGAGCCTCCGTTTGTCGCAAGAAAAAAACAGGCTGAATCTGTCGGCATTTAAGCATCTCTGGAAGGCATCCTAACGCATCTGGCTGCCTTTGGTGTGTCCGACTCCTCTTCAGCGCAGCAGCGACGAATTTCCTCCACCCCTCCCAAGTCCAGCAGCCTCCTGTGGCCCTCCTGACCACGCCTGTTTCTCTCAGCCACAGAATCTTCCCCTTAACTCTCATCCACCTTTTGAACCCGCCATCAGCCAAACCCGTTTGCAGCCATGGGGCTCCACGAATCCCTCCGTCTCCTCCGCGTCATCGTCTCTCTCTCCCTCCTCGCCACGCTGGCATCCCTCACCACGGCGCAGCCGCAGCAGCGCGGGCTGGTGGATCTGAAGACGATCCCCGAGAACTCCGTGTCGTCGTGGTCGCTGCAGGGGCCGCCCGGGCTGCGCAAGGAGAGCAGCCCGGGACAGTTCAAGCTGGTGGGGCCCGTTGTGATCAACGTACTCAAAGTCATCCGCCCTCAGTTCACGCCTGTTCAGGTAATAGACTTGTAAAACATGACAGGGTTATCTCTCCGACCTGGTTTTGATGAGAGACGAAAGCTCTACGTCCTGTGTCCTCTGCATGTTTCCACCACGTTTCTCATCCTCATGTGTCATGAATTGATGTGCAGGCCGAGTGGCTGTCCTCCAATCTGACATCAGACCCTTCCACGTGGACAGCTTTCATTGCGCCACCTGCAGGCCCCGGCGAATTTGCGAATCTGACCTTAGAGAACCCTGTGGTGCAGATCTGGGGCGGCCGTTTTAACATCGACAACACGACGAGCGACTATTCGTTCACGCCCGAAAACACGAGGCTGCTCTTCTCCCGTGTCTCGGGCAGCCTGCTGCGATCTGATGTGGACAAGCAGAATGTGGTGATCACACTGCCTGCGGAAAATATCCCCACGCTGAATGGGAAATTCATCCGAAGGGTATGAGAATACTAATCCTACCAGTACCACCCTTTCCATGTTTACTCTTATCTGTCTTATCAGTAGTACAGATGTTCGACTAATTTTCCTTGTGCTGCTGCTGTCATGTTACAGGGTCCCGTTTTTGAGCTCATTTCTGGTGGCGAGCTGGACATCCCACTCCGGTAATATTCCATTCCTTTAACCTCTTCTGTTTTTCTTAACCACTGTAGCACACAAGTCTAATACATGTATGCACATTTGCTCTCCCCTCCCACCCCCCTGGCCCACCATCACAAAACCTCCTCACCACCCCTCCTGAGCAGTGTCATTTTCGCAGCCATTGCTCCCCCTCGTCGTGGGCCTCCTCCTCCCGGTCCGGGCATCACTGCCTCCTTTGCCCGCATCCTGCTCTCCTTCAAGGCAGCTGGAGTGTTCCGCAAATAAGGGTGATCCGGCTCCCGGCGGCGCACCTCTCCCCTTCTCTGCGCCATGCTCTCCTTGTTTCCCCTCCTTTCTTCTTGTCTCCCCACTCCCCTACCCTGCCCCTTCCCCGCCTCTCTGACTCTTCCCAGTGCGGTGGTTGTCGCACTTGGTGTTGAGTCAGGCCCTCCTCCTCCTGGGCCTAATTTCCCTGACGAAGTTGTCATGCAAGTCAAGCTCAGCCTTCAAGCCATTGGTCGCCAGCATCCCCGATCCACTGGCCCGCATCCCGCACCTGCTGGTCCGGGCAGGGAGCCTCCCCCTCTGGCCGGCGTCCCTTCCCCTGCCCCTGCTCCTGGCCCCGCCCCTGTTCCTGCCCCTGCCCCTGCCCCTGGCCCTGGCCCTGTTCCTGCACCTGCTCCCACCCCAGCTACCGAGAAATAGGTCCCCTTGTGGGGCCAGTAGAGGATTTAGGACGTGAGCATGTTGTGTATGTTAGAATACGAGAATGATTTACTAGGAAGAGAAATCTAGAACAAATACCTGTTGGGTTGTACTCACTAGAAGCACACACCTAGTCTAGCCTATAACTTCTACATAAAACGTATGTACAAGTTGACACACCCCCTAGGCTAGATAAGGGGTCGAGCTAAGCAAGAAGCACACAGCTCTGGGTGGCACTACTAGTCCTACCACTGAGGCAGGGGTCTGGAGACCAGTCAGCAGGGGTACAGACAAGACAAAAGCAAGCCAGGGCGGCACTTCTAGTTTAGCCACTGGATATGACAGATATAAATAGTAGAGAGTACACGATCAGGGTTCTAACAAGTGAGAAGATACAGGAACAAGACCAAGCTGTACACAGTATCGCTGATAATCTTTAGGCGCAAGCGCCTTAGTAAAGATATTAGCTGTGTTGGCACCGGAGGCCAATTGAACTACGCGGGCCTGGCGACGCTGCTGCAGCTCGCGCAGGAGGAAGTACCGCAGCTGGATATGCTTCGCTCTACCCTCAAGCCGAGGCTCCTGACACAGGAGTATCATGGCCCTGTTGTCAGCGTACAGGACCGGGGCAGAGCTAGGCCGCTCACCTAAGTCTGTAAGCAAGAAGGTAAGCCAGCGGAGCTCCTGTGCCGCCATGGCACCGGCGTAGATCTCAGCCTCACAGCTGGACTGGGCAACAGACGACGAGCGAGTGGATCTCCATGAGATAGCACCCGAACCAAGGCTAAAACAGTAGCCCTCAGACGACCTGAGAGTCTCAGAGTCGTCTGCCCAAGAAGCGTCTGTGTGCCCAGTGAGGACCACTCGCCTGCGTCCTCCTAGCACTAACCCCATGCCCTATGTACTTGCAAGATAACACAAAACCCTCTTAGCGGCAGACCAGTGCTGAGGTCGGTGTCTGCCTGTTGCCACAAAGCAAGCCAGGATGCTGAGAGGGTATGCGAGATCTGGACGAGTGCAAGTCATCAGGTACATGAGGCAACCCACCAGCTCTGCGTAGGGGCCACTGGGCTCTACTTGCTCCTCAGGAACTGGAGCGGAGAGCCCATTGTCCACTGGTAGAGGTGTGGGCTGTGCGGAGGAGAACTGAAGACCGAACCTCTGAAGGACCTGACGCACCAAGTGTGATTGCGTGAGAGTGATGGTGCGTGCTGCTCTGTCCCTAGAGTTCTGCAGGCCAAGATAGCGACGCAGCTCTCCAAGGTCAGTGCAGGTGTATCTCTTCAGTAGCTCGGCCTTCACAGAGGCCAGTGCGTCCCTGTCAGCAGTAGCAAAGACCAGGTCATCTACGTAGACAAGGATGTAGAACAGAGTCTGGCCGGAACGCACAAACAGCGAGGGGTCAGAAGAGGATGGAAAGAACTGCTAACGTGGCCCACAGCGTGTCGTGCCACTCACGAGGAGCCTGACGCAGGCCGTAAACTGGGCGCCTGAGAAGCCACTGGGTCCCAGGGGGGGTACCAGTGAAGCCCTGTGGTCGGCACAGGTAGACCTGCTTGTGTAGGCTGCCCTGAAGAAAGGCAGTAGAGAAGTCGAGGGAGTGAAGCTCGTTGTCGCGCTGTGCTGCTACGTGTAGCAGCGCCCGAAGAGTGGTCATCTTTGGGGTCGGGACGAAGGTCTGGAAGAAGTCAACCCCCTCGCGCTGACTGAAACCTCTGGCCACGTAGCGCGCCTTGAAGACAGGCGGCTCTCCAGGGGGGCGCTTCACCTTGAAGAGCCACCGACCATCGACTACGTTCACCCCAGGCGGGGGAACTGCGTCGACGTAAGTGCCGGTGGACCTCCAAGATGCCATCTCCTGCTCCATGGAAGCTATCCACTGAAAGGCCCAAGGTCCCGAGGTGGCCTCAGCGTAGGTGCGAGGGGTCGGGATGTCGAAGGCGTCTGGGTCACCCTCAGGGACTAACAGCATGGAGCAGAGGTGGGGAGCGGCCTCGGAAAGGAAAAAAAGCTCGTACTGCCTGTCCTCTAGAACGTCACTGCCAAGGGCAGGAGCACCCCTGACGGACAGAGGACGGGCAGGTTCAGAGACCAGAGCGGTAGCGTAGTCAAGGCGGCGGGTAGAGGCGAAGTCAGCGATAGCAGCGACAAGTGCGTCAAGGCGCGAGACAGGAAAAGAAGGGTCGGTAACAAAAGAGGCAAGAACCCGAGGGACAAGGGGACGAGCGGCACGGAGGTAGTCAGACAACGGAGGAGGTGCAACAGCAAGCGACGATGGAGGAGGTGACGGGAGGAGGGGAGGACGAGACGAGTGGGAACGGAGCAACATAGGGTGGGAGCGCAGGACAGGCGAGACGGGACGGGCACGTGGGGACGGCGAGACCAAACGGCTGACGGAGGTGTAGGGTTACGAGACAGCGGAGGGGACACAGGAGGGGAACGAGGAGGAAGACGGGTCGGAGACGAGTCCGGCGGCGGGAACACAGGACCGTAGACAGGAAGGTCAGCAGGTGGTGGGGGAGACACCGGCGAGCGGTCAGGGGAGAGAAGGCCGAGCAGGCGGAGAGCGGAGACCGGCGGCGACGGCTGCTGCGGCTGGGCCTCGACCCTCGGACCGGCAGGGGCAGGACGACCGTCGGCATAACTCTCAACGGCAGCACCCCCAGAACCAACACCCCCAGAGCAAGAACCCCCTCCAGCACCAGCGGCACCCCCAGGCCCGCCGGGACAGACCACGCCAGGAGCCGCAGGACAAACACCGTCCTCAACGTCAGCACCCCCAGAGGCCACGCGCGGCGGCGGCGGCGGCTGCGGCGGAGGCGGCGGCTGCGACTGTGACAGTGGAGGCGGAGACACCGGGGAAGGGGGACGCAGCAAGGACGGGCCGGGGGTACCACCAGAGTCAGCAGACTCCTCAACGGGGACAACCGACGGGAGGGGAGTGACGTGAGAGACACCAGACGGGGCAGGACGAGGCGGGAGAGGAGCAGGGGCTACCGGGGGAGAGGGAGCAAGGAACAGGGGCGGGGAAACCGGGAGACCTCGGTGAGGGAAGCGGCGGTAGAAGGAGACAGACTCGTCAAAGGTGACGTCACGAGAGTGGAGGAAGCGGTGAGACGGCGAGTGGTAGAAGAGCCAGTCAGAAGAGCGCAGGGGGAAACCAAGGAAGACAAAAGGGACAGTGCGGGCAGTGAGCTTGTCCGTGCCAGAGACACGAACGTGAGCAAGGCAGCCCCAGACATGGAACGCTGATGCGTCACTGGGGGACCCGGTCCAAAGGAGGGTCGGCGAAACCTGCGGCCGCTGGGAGCGGGGCCACAAGTTAAGCTGGTGAGCAGCGTAGCGGACCGCGAGCGGCCACAGAAAATGGGGGGCATCGGCATGAATCATGGAGGTACGAGCTACCTCCATGCCCAAGCCAATGCGGCGCTCGGCAACCCCATTCTGCTGTGGCGAGTCCGGCAAGGTGTACGATTGGGTGATGCCCTCCGCACGACAGAACTGACCAAGCCGACCGGAGGCGAACTCGCCGCCACGGTCAGAGTGGAGACACAACACCGGGAGACCGCGGTGAAGGCGCGCAGCCACAACCCACGGTGGAAGAACGTCAGGCACGTCGGCCTTCCGCTCCAGGGGAAACACCGTGGTGTAGCGCGTGTAGTCGTCGACGAGCACAAGAAAGTAGCGCTCGCCACCCGGTCCGGGGACGGGGGCAAGGCCCCAAAAGTCCAGGTGTAGGGTCTGAAGGCGTGCACGGAGGCGCAGTCGAGGGGGGAAGGGCAGGGAGCGACGCGGGGAGGCCTAAGACAAGACCGTGCTGAGACATGTGACGCAGACGCGGGATAGCAGGGTGACCTAAGCAGTGGTGCCACAGAAGGGACGCGTGAGTGAGGGACCGACACGAGCAAGCTGCAACGACCTGAGAGGACGCACCAACTGGGGGGGAAGCGGTGTCTAGGGTGAACAGACCGGACACCGGGTCCCGGGGGAACGTCGCAAGGGGGGAACCTGAGACAGCCTCAGAACAGACAGCGAACCACTCGTGCCCAGGGAACGTGGTGGTGACGCCGAGGTCCTGGAGACAGCCGACACCAACCAGGTTCCTCGAGAACGAGGGAACGTGGAGGCCTGTAAGAGAGCCCGAGGGAACTGTTGGACAGGGAAGGGACGTGGAACTTCGAGCGACGACAGGACCCGCAGAGGGGTCAGCGAGAGAGACAACAGCAGGTGCAGCAAGCGGCGTGAGCGTAGAATGGTCGCGGAAGAAACAGGCAGAAGCACCGGAGTCGAGAGTGAAGGACAGCGAAGCAGTGGCGAAGGCCGGGAATGGAGCCGGTGCAGGGACTAGGCTAGGCAAACTAGGCAGTCCTACATCTGACGTAGCAGGGGAGGCTAAGCTACACAAGGGTGCAACACCTAAACTAGAGTACACAGGGTAATAAGGTCCAGCAACACTAGAAGCGTCAGAATACAAGGCATGCAAAGCAGCACCTATATGATCCATGTCTAACTCAAAGATCGGCACGCCCAGGCGGAGCAGGCTGTGCCAGTCGGGGAGGTCCGGGGCCGGGCCAAAGCGACGACGAAAGAGATCATCGAGGCGGCGGAAACAGCGGGCGGTCGGGTGCGGGCGGCGGCACAGAGTGCCGCAGAGAGGCCCGGTCTGAAGCTGGTTTTGGCAGGTCACAACACCGGAGCCGCCAGTAGACGCTGAGCTGCGCGGGCCGCCACCACGGCCACTACCTCCGGAGGTGCCGGGCCAACCAGGCGGGAGACGAGCCCACGGCTGCAGCGGCTGCTGCTGGGACGGTGGCTGCCGCTGGGACGGCGGCTGCTGCTGGGGCTGCTCCTGCCCACCGGTGGTAGTCCTCTCAGGTGGACTACCGTCACCACCACCACTCCCACCACCACCAGCGCCACCACCCCGACCTCCCTGGCGGCCACAGCCACCGCGACGCGAGCGCTGCTGCGAGTGAGCCACAGCAGCAGTCTCGGTAAGAGGGGTCGCAGTGGCGACCGCAGCCGAAACGTCAGTATACGTGCACTGGGAGGGGGCACAGCCGTGAAAGATGGAGACTGCCGGCGCACCGCTCGACTGAGCGATAGTACG